GGAAGAGATTTTTATAAAGCTTTCATAGTTACTTCCAGGAGATACCCAATGGAAAGATAGAGTTAAGCCAAGCAGGCTAGGAGCACAGTTCCTATTACTTTCTCCTTTCTCTGCCTTATGTCAACCAGTCTTGCTTCCTAAACTACCAAAAATGTCTCCAAACAGATTGCCCTATCTCAAAGATGAGAGAGGTAGCAAAAGGCAAGGAGGAGGCTTAATATGTGACTAGCAAGTAATGGTTTGGGAGTTTCTTTCCCTCCTTTTTAAACTATCTTTAAACCTTATTCTCAGTTTTTGTTCTTCATTCCTTTGTTTTAATGCTGAATGGTAGTTGCATTGCTTACCTGCATCCACACACCCAAGACGTGAACTCGCTCAGTGAGTGTTTGCTGATTACTCAAATGCATGGTGCTATCCTGAGACATACAATAAAGAACCACCTTGGATTCTGTCTCATGGTGTTAAACTAATGAAAAACCTGCGAATCGTTTGAAGTTAATATATAGCTAAAAGTTCTAAAAGTGATGAGAAGAGTTAGTGTTTAGGTGTTTGGAAGGGGGATAGAGAATGTCTGGCTAGATGTTAAAGGAAAAAATAGAACAAGGCTTTAGAAAATGTAGCATTTTACAGGGAACTATGGGTTCACTTAAGATTTTTAAATTGGGAACTAAAATGTCAGTTACATGACAGCAGAAGTCAACTCCTATAGGTAGAGATGGTAGGAGACTGGTGTGAAAGAGCCTGACATGACCAATGTTACTGGTATGAGGTGGCCACAAGAGTTAACTGCCCAGAGGGAACATGGAAAAGAAAAGAAGCAAAAATGTCCCAGATTATGTAGGGGTGGGTAGGAGAATGGCAGTGCCCTGAACAATGGCAGTCATCATGAGAGAAGAAGCACTGTTCAGGAGAAGATAAAAAATTGTCAGGGACAGACTGATCTCCAAAATCCTAGAGCACATGCAGCTGTCAGAAGTCAGGAATGAGGATCTGCAGCCCAAGAGAAGAGGCAGGAGGTCATGAGAGATTCATTGAGAGGGTCTCCTGATGGTTCATGTCCATGCTAGAAAGAATCCCATAAATTAGGGGCCTAGGGAGTTAGTTGCATTAGGATTTTTCCATTAGAGAGAGATTTATCACAATATGTAAATTCCACTACTGAGTAGTGTGACCCTGATTTTGGCTTGATTTTTAAAGTCAGGGATATTGTTCTGGCTTGATTTTTAAAGTTGGGGATACTGTTCTAAAGTAACCTCTTGGTCATTTCTGTACCAAGATTCAATCATCTTTAAGTAACACATGGAATTTGAGGTGATGGTCTCATTTCATCCACTCATGTCATAGTTCCAAATGTTCCTGCCTTATACTTTTTTCAATTTGAATGCTTAGATATTTTAATTACTGATATTTTCGTAGGTGATACATTATTTAAAAATTTGAAACACAGAAAAACATTTACAAATCAAGCAAAAATATCCATAATCCAACTAACCACGGTTGTTAGATGTTTTCCTACTATATTAATGAGAATACATATATATATATGTATGTGTGTGTGTTTGTGTGTGTATACGTGCACACACATGTGGACACACAAATTTACACAAGCTTTATGGAAATTGTCATATAGGTGACATAGGAACACACAGATTTTCTTAATATTGTGGGTTGTATTGTACTTTCTGTTTTCAGTTTTTTTAGTTACCATCATAGCTATTTTCAATGTCATTAAAAGTGGCTCAAAATTTTTATGTCCTCATGATAGGGCACCATGTGAAGCTGTCATAACATCAAAGCCTATTCCATCATCAGGCAATTCACTAAAGGCACGTACTTTGATAGGATGAGGTAGGATGTGCCTCACACCACATTACTCCGGAATGCTCACTTTTTCATCCTCACCTCTTCTGCTTTTCTCTGTCTTTTTAAATTGCAAATTAATTAATGCAAATATATTAACTGTAGAAAGCTCACTCTCTTGTCTTACCAACACAATCCCCGATGATGGGAAACTTTAGGTGGAGTCATGTCTGTCCAAAATGAAAAACATGAGAGTGCTCAGGATAATTAAGGTGCTGGAGAATGCGTAGTTTTATCCCCAACTCTTTCTTATATCTTCCCTTTGTAGTCATTTTTAAAGATCACTTCTGCCTCCTTCGCCACTCCCTGCATACTCAGACACACATCTGAATGTATATGCACAAACATGCATACCTAATCTAGATCTAAACATGGGGAGAAGTTCTTCAAGTCCCTAAATTGCATCCTTTTTCACGATTCTTCATAATGTATGCTTTACCTAAGGAAAAAACAGCTCTTAAAGATAAGCAATAGGAAGTCAAGCTTAGGCAAGATTCCCTCCCCTCTGTGATAGTGCAGCAAAAGGCCAGGACTGTGGCATGAGCTTCAGGAAGGAACAGAACCTGACACACGAATATGCATTAGCAGCACTGGACAGAGCACCATTGTTTTGATAGATTTCTGTTTTCACAGGTGCCATAGAGTCATTTTATGAGTCTTCACCATGACCCATGCCACAGAAAGATAAATACAGCTATAGTTTTGCTGAATCCAGGTTTAAAGCTCCTTGTTCAAACAAAAACAGAATTTCTAAATCAGTCCAAAGCACAGCTCACATCTTGAGTTCTGTGTATTCCCCATTTATTCCCTTTCTTCGGTTCAACTTGACTCTTTCAATATTACTGTCTCCATTTTAAATATCATCAGCTGATAATTCAGTTGACAGAGATCTGCAACAGTTCATTCTAATATTGAAGATGACAAATTATAGTCATAAATTTTTTCAGGAGAAAAGGCAATGGTATGCATTTCTGCATGTAGAAATTGATATACACACATAAAGATAGCAGGGTCAGGAAAATGTAACTTCCCTAATTGATAATCATTAGATAATGGTGGATGTTTAAAGTTATTAAAAGAACTTTCAGAAGCTGTCATTCTTTAAAATATAGACCTTTTAGGAAGAAAATTCCCTGAATTACTAGATATAAGACTTACTAGAAATATATCATATGATTCTAACAAAAGGCAAAATTAGGCTTTCATCCAACTTCTTGTCTTTCAGAAGAAAGTAGAAAAGAATAGGTCATTTAATTCCCAAAACAGAGGCAAAAGTTCACAATATTCATCTCATTCTTATGTTAAAAGGTCCATGAGACTTTGAGCATGCCCAAAGTCAGCAGCCAGTTTCACAAGCACTAGGTGAGAGCGTGCAGATATGTGTGCATGCACATACAGTAAGAAAATTTCATCACACAAGTGAGTTCAAAATATTTAATTGTACAAATAGAAATGGAAAATGTAATCATGTAAAATAAATTTAAAAATTAGCACTCCAGTGATTTTCCTTCCTGTGGAATCGACTTCACAACTTTTTTCTATTTTCTTTCAAACAAATCTAGTTTCTCTTATGCATCTCCATACATTTCAGCAATATCTTCAGAACCCATGCAGTCCTCTTCATCCTTCTCTCCTTTTTCCTCATCTTTCATGATCTCTGGTCAGTGTTATTATTTTATCTTTCCGATCCTCAGCATGCCCAGTCCACTCTTTTTACCAAATGCTTAGTTTTGCTAGTTTATATAAAGCAAACATCCTGTATCATCTTATATCAGAGATTAGGGTGAAAATCAAATGTTTATCATTAAATGAGTGATTTACTTAATGATAAGCATACTGAATATAAGGACATAATTATAGAGAGACATAAATACATACCTATCTACCAGTCTTAGGTATACAGATAGAATACATGGGCTCCTTCAGTACTCAAAAGAGGGGTTTCCTAGTATTTGTTATTTGCAAATTAAGCATCTTCTGCTTATGTTCTACCATGCTCGGCATCCATATTGAGCTCTCTTCATCTCCCAATCTTGTTTTTTCACCCACCACTCTCTGCTACACTAGTCCTCTTATCCAAAATCTATGAGTCATAAATCCTCCAGAAGCCAGCGGATCAGGCCTCAGCAAGGACCCATTTTTACCAATTAGAGGCTTTCACTGAAATCAGCAAAATAGTTTAACATAGCTTATTGGAGTCCTACAGACCTCCAGGGACTCCCACACAGTCTATAATGTCATTTATTATAATGTCATTTATTGTTCATCCTTTAGCCACACAGCATATAGTGTCATTTCTTATAGCTCTTTTGGCCTCTATTCTGTTTCTAAACCTCAGCGGTTTCCCAGGGGACTCTCTCTCTCTCTCTCTCTCTCTCTCTCTCTCTCTATATATATATATATATATATATATATATACAACAGCCACGATACTCACAACCAGCACTATAAAGCAGTTAACACTATGTAACCAAAAGAAGAACTTTCATATTTATGAAAAGTTTTCATAACTTTATTTTAGTAGAGATTTTGCTTTTGCTAATAGTTGTCTACCACATTTAGTAGTTCCTGTCTCCCTTTTTAAACTATCCTAGTGGCTCCTCTCCAGGTATTAATAAGATCTCTAGATCTGCCAAGAGAAGAAAACTATTTGCTACTGCATGTCACCTAGTATTGTTAATTCTGAGGTACATACTCTCCTGCTTAAATAGCTTTCTCTTTCATCAGAAGTGAGACAGTAACTGTAATTGCTTGGTAAGCATCTGGAAGTAACATTAATAATGACGATGGTAATAATGACCTCATAGGATATATAATTTGAGGGATTAAAGAACATTTACAAGTTTATTGTGTCATAGTTAATGATGAGGTGCCAAGTTTTCTTGCCACCTCCCTTTCAGTGGTATTTCCTGCTTGGATCAGGGAGCTAATTACAGTAAATGGTGTCCTTTCAAAGAACCTGCCCCATGCTAAAGCATATGCTAGCATAAAAATATTGAACTGTTTTATGTTGCTTTGCAGAGATGATTTATTAATGTTGTTTTGCAATTGTATAAAAATTTTGTATAATGTAATCATTTAGTGTTTATTTTATTGTGTGTACCTTCTACTCAGAGGGTTGGCATTATTGTTCCTAACAGTGACGGATACAAGCAGATCATGCCTTATGACCTCTACCATCCCCTTCCTCGGTACGTAAATCAATCATCCAATGTTAGAATTAGCAAATTAGTCTTCTGATGCTTTTATATCTATAAACATATATACACAGATTTTGTGTTCTTCTGTACAAATAAGATGGTAGATGGTATATTTTGCAATCCCTCCTGAGTTCTGCTTTTGGATCATACTGTCCTACTTGTATGCTTGTCAGACTTGTAAGCTTGTCAGCCAAAATCCATTTTAAGAGAGGATATATGACATTGCAGTGGACATAGTAACTCGCTCTGATTAGATGCTGTGTATGGGTTTCTTTTACGTCTTTCTTTCTCTGTCTTTGTCCTGTTCTGTTTCCTCTGCAATAGGACCCTGGTCTTTAAAGCAATGTTACTAATTGTTAAACAAGCATTGCCTGTATTATCACAACACCTTGAATGTGGAATTCCAGATGTGGAATTACTATGCACATGGCACTAAATGTCCTCTTTTTATTTTGAAGAAATTATAATTAAGTACAAAAGTCAACTTTTTCATATTCTTGTTATCTGGAACATTTTAGAGGACTTTTTTCTAAAACATAAAATTCAATGTGCTGAGTTGCTTTTTAAAATTATAATATTTTTTAAACCAGAAAAAAGAATGAAAGTAACTAGGACACTCTTTAAAGAGCTTGTTATCTTTATAATGTATTCATAAGAAAACCAGAGGGGCTGAAAAATATACCAGTTACTAAATGTCTGCCACATTGGAAGCAGCTCCACAGATAGCAAAAATTAGAATTGGGCTTAAATACATCTTTGCTCTAGTTTCTTTACTAATTTGGCCCTCAGAGACTCACCTGCTATTTAGACCTAAAGGTTTAAATCAGAACATAAGTAATTGGAATAACCTGTAGTTGTTTCCTCAATCCAAAACTAAACTAAGCCCAGAATATAATTGTATCCTGAGCAGTAAAATTCAGCAAATTTGATTAAAAAATCTCCAAAATCCAGTGAATCAGGATCTAAATAGGGATCCCATGAGATCATCAAGTTCAACTCCCAGTGATTCCTCATTTCCTGTTCCTTTCCCAGCAATCCCACCTGCACACCATAGATATGTAAGCATAAGTATTTACACAAATTAGAACTGATGTGCATTTAATGCATATGTATTCATACATCTATATATATATATATACATAGATAGTTACATAATCCATACACACTAACACAAGTTCTTATCCAATATCTACTTAAATACTGTCAGGAGAGTCACTTTTTACCATTCCAACAGCAACATGCAGAAAGGGAGATCTGATTTATACTAAATGTAATTGCTATTACTAAGTTCTTTTACTAAATGGCTACCTCAGTAGTCAGCTCTCTCCACTTTTCTGTAACTATATTGATAAAGACAATAAATAAGTTTAGAATGATCCCTATGTATCATTTTGCTGATTTAATCCAACAGCCTTCTTCTCCTTGGTAATTTACTGAAAATATCAAAAGATCAATTTAATTGAACCAGAATTCCCTTAGATTTCAGTTTTTGTACCTGTAAAATAAGTAAGTATTCATAAGACACATGTATCTATTTGTATGAACCTATACATTTCAAGGTAAAAGCAAAGTTGAGTATCAAGAGTGAGCAACATGAAGTTTATATTTTTCCTGTAATGGCAGCTCCTAGATTTTGGTCACATCTTCTATAATCTCTCTTACTTGTATTTCTCTGGCATAAGCAATGCCTGTCTTAGGTTACAGTTGCTCTCTTATAGAATAGGACTTCCCACAAATGTCTTACACTCAATGGTATATTGAAACAATCATCCTTGAAGTTTACACCATGCCCTGTGAATGCATTTGGTATGTCCATGTATCACAATAGGAATGCACAATTAGCAAATGAACAGACTATCCTTCTTACCTCTTGAGCTTCTGTCACTGAGCTAATTCTAAAGGTAGAAATTCTGCTTTACTGACAAAGTCCTAGTAAATGGAAGCCATTTCTATAAATGTGTTTTCATTACATAAAAATAATTAAGGTTCGACTTTAATTTCTATTCTTTTGAAACTTAGAGAAAATTACTTCTTAAGCCAAAAATAATGCAGTTGTATTTTGAGATAAGGATTCAAATAGATTGTTTATGAATTATCAGATAGCATATACTCACTAAAAATTTAATAAAACCTACTATAATGTAAAAACATTAAAAACTTCAGGTTCTAAAATGGTTCTCAAATGACAACTACCCACGAATTAAGGTAGAAAACTTTATTTAAAATATTTATATACATTTAAGACTACAAGTAAACTACAACACACAATTAAAGAATTTTTAGCCTGCTTTCAGTCTTTGACTTAACACGTAACTCAGTGTCATGTAAGAATGTAGTTTGATGAATTATTCATAATTAGTTTATGCCACAGTTCTACATCTTTTTTTAAACTTTGGCAATTTATTAAATACATTATATGTTTAAAAAAATTAAGAGCCAAAGGAGTTAAAATATATAACATACAACGTGTATACTCTTTTTTATATATAAATGGATTCATGTTTATTATTTATTTTAATGTAAATAATATTTTATTTTAGTCTAACACTTAGCCATAAAATTTAACTTGTAAATAAAATATTTCAATGTGCCCCAAGTACATATATATATGACATATATATGACATACAAATTTGTGCAATGTTCTTCAGGACAGAGGGACAGAGTTCTTAGATACATCTTCTTGTATTCCAAGTACTTACCCTGGCCACTGTTTAAGATTTCTTCTTGACTAATGTCCTCTCTCAGCTTTTCATATACTTTAAAGCACCCAAATGTACTTTGCTTTAAATTTCCATGTAACTCTATTATTACACAATTATTCCCATATTTCACATATAGAGGTAGGTCATATACTGGAACCCATACTACAGATTGTCAGGATATTAGCCTCATTTTTCTTTCTGTGATCAGTGACATTGAAAAGGATACTTAATTCTGTTTGTGAAATTACACTATGGTCAGGTCTGAGATTTTACACAGAAATTAATCACTCTCCCTTTAGAAGGGTTAAGTTTAGGGATTTTGAGTACTTACTAGAAAATATGCTCTTTTATAGTATCTTAATATTCTAAAAGATTAAATGTATATTAAAACATATTCCTACTTCACTGTCAGATTAAATCCAGTGTAAACATGTACTTACATATTCAACCCAAATTCAGTCTGAATTAGATCTATGATCTTCCTCTAGAAGGAAGCCCTTCAGAGACGGAGACAAATGAAAATTTGTCTTACCCCTTTGCAGAGCTACTTCAGTCTTGAAAGAGATCAAAAACATTTCCTATGGGTTAAACAGAGGGGCTCAGTTTCCCCCATAATAACAGTTTCTTGTGTGTCTCCTGGGGAAAACACATAGGAAAATGATGTATTTGACAGCATATATTGGCTGTTGGCAGTGGCAATGACACTTGTTGCCTAAACTTTGAACAGTGTAAAGAAAATGTGAAGATAAGCCCTCTTAACTGGGAAATACACTTTATTCTGACTCATGAACAAATCAAGTTCACAATGTATGTGAAATCCTACTTAGAGAATAATTTATGTCTCCATGAGGTGTCTGTGCAATGTTTTTAAGTTTAGCTATTCAAGTGGATCAATTTGGTGACATTTTGTTTCTCTCTCATTAAAATGATAGCTCATAATCCCAAGAGAAATCGTAAAACTCCTTTGCAGTCCTCATCAACAATCAGAATACATATAAGACAAGCTTAGCCCATTTGGTCCCAATGCTTCTACATTTAGAAATTCCTCATTGTCTAAATCCACAGGAGGACAGAGAAGAATTAGGCAAAGATAAATCTCTGCATCTGGTCCCAAATGCTTCAGAACTGTGTAGAGCTCTGAAAAAAAATCAATGGAATTCCCCCTAAGTGTAATTGGCAATATTGTTATTTTTCTGCCTTAGCTAACTATATATCTAGATTCAGATGCTATAAACCTTTCAGCCAAAATCATACCTCTTCATCGTTCCAGTTCTTTACTGGAGGAACTCTGTCAGTATCCCTGATCAGCTAGAGAACAGATAGATTAACACTTATATTAATACATTTGCCCCTCAGCTTAATGATGGTGCCATCTGACCATTAGAACTGTGAAATATATAGAGTCCCAAAGCTGACAATTGCAGAATTAAGGGAGAAAGGGCTTTTTTTTACATCAATCTGGTATACGCATCTCCTATTTGAAAAAAAAAACAGAAGTTAAGTAATAAAACAGGACATTGAAAAGTGTTCACCCAGATGCAAACCATTATTGTTAACTGATTATTTAACTTTAGTCTTGCCACAGGCACTTAATAGGATTTAGGGAAAAATAAACTTTAATACATACACATGTGCATGTATATATATATTAGAAATACAGTTATTAGAAATATATATATATATATATATTAGAAATACACATCCAGAAATTTGAAACTATGAGGAGGACTACAGACTGAACTTCCATCACTTCAGTAGGTCACAGACAACATAGATGTCCTTGTGAATGGTTCTCAAAACTGTAATCTCCACACAGAGGGAAGCTTCACAGAGCTCCACAGTTTACAGTACACTTTTGCCAGTGTTGAATTCTTCTCTCTTACCATCAGATGTTAGGCAATAGATGGCTTTCGGTTCTTTGGACCATAGCCTCTGAGAACCCAATGATCCCAATAGGCTTAGGGAATGGGTTGGTGTGTCAGGTCACTGAGGAGGTTTGGCAATGTGCATGTCTGCCCTGATAACTCCCCTTGCTTCTGTAGGTGGGAGGCCACCCCATGGACCGCGTGCTCCTCCTCGTGTGGGGGGGGCATCCAGAGCCGGGCAGTTTCCTGTGTGGAGGAGGACATCCAGGGGCATGTCACTTCAGTGGAAGAGTGGAAATGCATGTACACCCCTAAGATGCCCATCGTGCAGCCCTGCAACATTTTTGACTGCCCTAAATGGCTGGCACAGGAGTGGTCTCCGGTAACCGTGCCCTCTTTCTTTGTTCATTAGGAGAGTGAGTCCACTCTCCCTCTTGCCATCATGGCTCCACCCTTCTCCTCTGAAGGTGTCTAGACGCCTACCAGCTCAGCTTCTGGAGTAGGAATGCCTCCACTCCATTGTAACCAAAAGTAAATGATTTTTTTTAAGGCTTTTCTTCAAGTTACTTCAAAGAAAGGTCTACTGCTCTGCTCTGTTAGGGAAAAAAATGCTTTTCAATAGTAACTGAGGCTGAATGCTCCTGAATCTGTGAAGGCTACTCTGATGATAGAGCTCAGTAGACCAGAGTTCAATTTCATGTTTTATTGATTATCCTCTGTCTATATCCATAAAAGGCCTGAGTGGATTAAAGTTGAAACTATGTATGTGATTCATTGGAGGAAAAAAGGATTAAATGAAAATAGCTCAATAATTAAAATGAGAATGAAGTTGAATAATTAAAACCAAAAAATTACAGACCTTAGGAAGCCTGCTGTAATTATGCTTAAAATGTTATTCTGGTTTCCTGGTTGCCAATGCAAAAAGAGAAGTGGCAAAGGAGTTAAAAAGATGTGGAAGTAAACCATTATGCCCTTATCCACAGAAATGAAAAAAGACCCTTCACTAAGCCTGTGACTTTGTGGGAGCAGATCAGAACTGTGATGTTTTCCTGTATCTAGACATGCTACCAGTCAGGTAGAACCATTGAAGGTGCTGTCTACATCTGGCCATTAAATCAGTTCCTATAAACAGTTTTTTCCATTACAATATAATCAGTTCAGTTGGTCATACTGCAGTGTACATTAGCTATAATAGCAGTTTAAAAATCTCTTAACATCCATGGGGGAGCTAGTATTGCCCATATTTTGGGACATTGTAGTCATTAGCAAAGTAACTAAGGTGTTGGTCTCTGAACTTGAGCACATGCTCTATTTTCTTATCTCCTTTTTGGTATTTGATTTAGACTGTATACACAGTGGGTGCTTCAAGATTGCTGACTGATTAAAACACGCCTATGAAATTGAAAATGATTTAATTTTCAGCCAGCTTCATCTCAAATAGCCAAACAGAACAAATGCCCCATGAGTGGTAAGAAGTGGTATAAATCTACCAGGAGTCCTCATATCCAAACAGGAGTCCTTATGTCAGGATGGAAAGTGAAAAAAAGTAAATAAGGCTTTACCTATGAGTCTCCTCTCTCTTATGATATCTTTCCAGTGCACAGTGACCTGTGGACAAGGCCTCAGGTACCGTGTGGTTCTCTGCATTGACCACCGAGGGATGCACACAGGAGGCTGCAGTGCGAAAACAAAACCCCACATAAAAGAGGAATGCATCATACCTACTCCTTGCTACAAACCCAAAGGTAACTGGACAGGTGTTCTTTGCCTATCCTTCTTCATGGATTTGTTGCAGGTGGTTTTGACCAAGCATGGTCAAAAATAATAATAGATTTTTAAAAACAGATGAAATTGCAAAAACAGAATTTTTAATTCCCATGCATGCATTACACAGTTCGGTCAACAAGGAAAAGCTCTCAGTCTCACGTTATCATCAGCTGAGTTTAAATAGCATGATGTAAGTGTTTCCCTGCCCTTAATTTTGTGAAAATCTGCATTCCAAATTCAGATTACCAAAAGCAAGGTAAAAGTTTTGGTAATCCTCCTAAGCCAAAAATTAAAACATAATTTTCCTAATTTAAATGATAAAGTGAAAATTTGAGATTTTTGAAAAACAGCAAGTCTTTAGCAGAAGTTGGGTGGGTAACATTACAGGGAAAATGAATCATCTGCAGTATTATACTGAACTCTATGCATTCTGGGCATTCGTGACTTTTCCTCAATGGCGGTATCCTCAGAACCATATCTCTGCAGATACCAAGGGTCTACATATTATGGGTCATTCAGGTGCTGCTTTAAACTCCTTGGAATATTTTTAAGCATCCTAAGTTTTCTTAGTAGTGAGTCTTTATAACTTAGACTCTACTGAATGGACTTGACTTTTTTTCAAACCTTACAAATGGTTTTGATTGCAAATTTTTTTAAATGCAACATACAGAAATCTATGTTTAAATTATCTCCCAGGTCAGGAAGTTGTTTAAAAACCATAGTTGAAAATACCATATGCATCATCTTGATGGGAGGCTAGATTGTATAGAAATAGATGTGTAAGTTAATGTCCACATTTCTTGCTATTGAGGATGAGAGTGAATCTACTTTGCTAAACCTGACATACATTGGAAAGTGTCATACTTCAAACTGATGAATAGAAAACTGCTCGTTTTTTAGATTGAAAAGTAAAACATTAATATAAGACTAAATTCCAGAAGCATAACTTGAAATACATCAGAATTTAATAGATACTGGAAAAACTTTTTTAAAAAAGAAATTTCAGAAAACTTCTACTTTATAAGCAAGATATATTAAAATTATACAAAATTTCTCAGATTAGTTTGAATACTAATTTGATTTCTGTGCTAGTATTGTTGCTAGTCTATGTCAATGAAGTAGGAAAATTCAGTCACAAACCATTTAGATGTAAAGAATTATCATAAACATCTTCCAATTTTTAAGGTCAAGTGGGCCTCCATTTCTTCCTTAATTTATTTCTTTAAACCTTTAAATTTCTATGTAAAGCAGCTACAATCTAGCTCTTCATTGTACCTTTTATGTGAATGAGTCATATCATAAAATCTAAATTAATGATGTAAAAGGAAACCAAAATACCCATGCCAGAAATCCTGATTACTTTTAATAAATGACTCTCTCTCTAACCCTCAGTTTTCTCATCTGTAAAATGCAGAAAATAAGAGTATCCTCCCCAGAGATCATGTGACAAAATGTAACTAGAGTACTTAGGCTGGTACCTGGGATATAGTAAGTTCTTTCCAAATGTTCCCTTTAAATATTGGCTCTTGTTAGCATCCTCAAATATCAGATGAGGTGGCCACAGGAACATCTGACAGGATTTACTTCAGGTCAACAGTAAGATATTGGAAACTAATATTAGTGCCCAACTGAACACTTTTCCATTGAGAGGCAGCTTGCGGGTGCTGTCACAGGCAGCTTCATTGACTGAGTCATCTAACTGGGATGGATGGCAGGATTGTAAAATGATGTATGCACACGTACCGCTCTGGTGTGGTTCAAATGTTAGCAATCCATTTGTCTTTGGCAGTTTTATATTCCTCACTTTATTTTCTGACTATAAACAATAGCTGCATGTAGAAGACAAGTAGTATTGCCCCTAACTAAAAATAGTCAATCATTTATTAGTTCTATCTTTACCAAGCCACTTCAGAGAAAGAAAAGCAGTTTGTGGTTAACTATCAAGAAGAAAATAGATATTCACAACTAAGTAGTGAGCTTGGCTCTCTAAACATCATTAAAACACCATATAATTCTACGGTCTATGCATATGTGGATATATTTCTTTCATCTTTGCAATTATATGTTATAAATTGGTGATAGAACTTCACTGGCTCATACTATAAAGGCAAATATGCCCATAAATGACCCTAATAAATATGTCAAAAATGGGAATCTTGGCAGTTACTTCTGTAGGAACAGTTAGAACCTCCCTATTTCTTTGTCTCCTCCACATTTTTTCCCCAGGAAGTAGTTAGGAAGCTTGTTCTGAGTTGTTTGGCTAAAGCTAGATGAATAGGTTAAAAAAAATAAAGTCAAATTATGGGCTATGGACTCTAAATTGCCCATATTCCTATTGTGCATGGGTCTTGGGGTGAGATAAAATAAGTCAGAAATCTAAAGCAATATTTTGCAAATTTCAGAGTGGCTGTTTGTTTTTGATAATGTAGCATAAATCAAACTTAGCCAAAATGCAAAAAAATGAAAGTATCAAAATACAGTTTCTTATACATTTTGTTTATTTTTAATGTATAAAAGATGCTCTGATGATTTTTATATGGATATTGAGTTGATGTTCCTAGAGTATGACTTTCATTATAAAAGGACTTTCCTTTGCTCTTCAACATAATAAAAAATCTGATTCTACTTTTCTTAGTATAATTACACCAAAGGTAGCAATTTGTCTAAGCACTTATTTGCAATTATCAACATAGTAACTTCTAGGTATAGTGCAAAATGAAGAACTGGTGACAAGAATGAGGAATTTCCCCCAAAATCTCAGGTTGGTTCTAACCTCTTCTCTTTTATGTGCATGCCCTTAATTCTCAGAGAAACTTCCAGTAGAGGCCAAGCTACCATGGTACAAGCAAGCTCAAGAGCTAGAAGAAGGAGCTGCCGTGTCAGAAGAGCCCTCGTAAGTTCTGAACGTGCAGATTGTTCTTTTGAAGGTGGTTGGTTAAAGAAAGCCTCATTGCTGTGGTGTTCCTGGGTTCTGAACTTAGTGTGATCACCCTCCCAGTGGGAAATGAAGCATCTTGGCTCTCCGATCAGAAAGGTACCCATTTCAAAGTGTTGATGAAAACTGATTGTATTCAAATGCAATTTAGAATTTTCCCAGATTCATCCTGTTCGAACCTAAGTACTTTTCAATTTTGCCTGATGTAAGGAAATGCAGGTAGAGTGATTCTGACCCTCTCTTTTTTCCTGGCAAGAGGCCAAAGGTGAGAAAATCCAGGCTTCATTTGATTATATAAAATAGATTTGCTGTGGAAATCTGGGCAGCTTTTCATACTCCTTATTTCCAAGTTTTGTAGTATAGCCACTCACAAAAATTAAGGGTAGGAAAAACATATATGAGGATAAAAGAAGTATAGTAGCTTTTATTATTGCTTTTTTGTTAGGATTAGTATCAGGGGAACATCCAGATGTTTGCCCAATTGCTCATGGTCCCACACCTGCTCAGTTTTATCAGTCATGAAATCAATGAGACCATTAGGCATAGATTTGCCATATGCTTCAGAAGACAAAGAAGAGAGACAAAAGCATATTAATTGATTAACTGATCAATATATGTTATTCTACTAGACAACACTGATAGGCACATCCATATTTTTACATATAAGGCAATGCACTTTACTGACAAATTTTGTCTTGTACCAAAACAATTTCTCATGTTGAAGATTTTCTATATTAATTCATTTAATGTAAGTACTAGGTTCCATGTTAGCTGTGAGTACATAAAATATGTTACCCACCCTCCAGGAATTCACAGTATAGCACAAAAGATATGAAATGGTTTACAAATTTAAGCCATAGTTTCAATTTTGCTAGGGATATAAATGAAAACTATAACCTGTATATTCAAGTGCAGTTAAGAATTTTCTCACATTCATCCTGCTTCAGTCTAAATCAGACGTGGTTTTCCAGAACACAAAATGAATCTCACTCAAAACAGCAAGAGATTCAACAAGAAATCCAAACTTTACAAATCAAGATTTGTAATAACCAGAGGTCCTTTGATTTCATAGAAAAATGGTACATGTATTAAGTGACACATTTTTTACTTAAAAGGAGAACTAAACAAAACATAGATTGTTTCTATACCGCAGTTACTACAGCAACATTTTCTACATTGAGAAAAAGCAACTAACCATGGCAGACCTTTGTTAGCCATGGTTAGAGATCACAGTGCAATCTTCAAGTGAATATAGGACAGCTTAAAATGTTTTCCTCTCCTTCCTGCCAGTACATAGTTTGACATGCCTTCTTATAGTTGACAAGGAAGTGAGCAGTTCATTGTAGAGGGGCATCAACAAATTAATCCATGAAGGTCCTATTTAAGACCCAGAAAAATGCCATGTAATTAGAGCTGGTTACTCCTTATATGCATTCTTTGATTAAAGATGTTTAAAATCTAATATGAGGTCATGCACAGTAGCTCACAGTTATAATTCTAGCTACCTGGGAGGCAGAAATTAGGTGACTAATGGTTCGAGGCCAACCCAGACAAAAAAGTTCACAAGACATTATGTCAACCAATAAAAGCTGGGTTTGGTAGTGCAAGCCTGTCATCCCAGCAACATGTGTAGCATAAATAGGTGGATCACCTTCCAGGCTAGTCCAGGCATGAACACAAGACTTTACTCAAAAAATGGCTAAAGCAAAAATGACTAAAATGTGGCTCAAGTGGTAGAGTGCCTGCCTAGCAAGCACAAAGCCCTGAACTCAAACCCTGGTACTACCGAAAATATAAAAAACTAATATTTTCTATTTTACTTAAACTATCTGTTCTCCTTGCACAATATATCTTGCCATACAACCCAAAGCATAATCCTATGTATGTTATTGCATTCTTTCTAATGTTAAATAATATTGTAAAGTTGAAAATAAATAAAAACATCTTGCATCTATAATTACTTTTCTTTCTAAAATCTCTCAAATGAAAACCATAAATTGAATTTAATGCTCCTCCACACAAATTACCTAGATCATCATCACCCATATTTTGCAATGTGTATTGTCCATAACAGTCTGATTAAGATGCTTTATGCTTAACTTTATCCTTAATAAAATCCCCCAAGTAGTTAAACACAGTTTTAGCCACTGAGACAGTAGCCATATATCAGACTACTAAATTATACCCTTAGTGTAATGGAGTTGCCATCTCAGCATGATTAATCTGAGTCAAAATATATTGTAATTGAACTGCTAGTTCAGCAAAAAGGAAATGTATACAGTTGTGCTCAGGACAACGATTACTTTTATACCAAAATGAAATAAATGACATCTGTAGAACAATGCAAGGAAAGTATATGGTTTCCACAATTTAATACATTTCACATGTTTAGTACACCACACCCAAGGAAAGGTCCTAAGTGTCACATTTTTAATTGATTTTGAATTAAACAAACATAATTCTTCATGGTCTTAATTCATTATTTTATTCAATCATATAGGGCAGTTTCCAAATGTATATAGCAACTTATAATTATTCTTCAAAGTATAATGAAAAGATTATATACTGTCAGCAAGTCTCCCACCAAAGAGACTCACATTGCTTAAATTAAATGGTCATGTTTAGAATCCATGGCTGTCACTTCTGAATTACTACAGTGAAGGAAGAACAGTGGTCCAGAACAATTATCTGTTTCATTGCCTCAGAGTTCTATAGCAAAGCAGCAAATACCATCTATTTCCCCATATGGAAAATGGAAACATTATCAACGGCTTGTCTCATTAAATAATATGGGAACATCACTATAGTTAAGTCTTTAGCATATGGAGATATCCTTATTGAGTGTTAGATACTTTTAGTAACCCCAAAATGTAAGGAAAAGATTGGTTAGCACTCTAGCCAAAAATATGTTGGAAAGCAACCTGTCTGTGATATGTTTAGAAGAAAACTGTGATAAAATACTAAAAACTGAATTGCCAAAAAACAACTAAAACTTTATATAAGAATGTACTGACATCATGGTTTCACTAAACTAAACACCGTGCGGAATATACAAATACATAGACCAGTCTCCCGGAATCACTGAAACAACCAGGCATATTGGAACACGTCATGTCATATACTTTTAAATATAGATTCACTGTACAAAGCTGCAGCTTCAGTTCAGAAATACTTTGAGATGTTAATGGTTTCGTTCTTCAACAGCAGATGGTGTATTTAGGATGTATCTGAAACATGTGGTATAAAGGTAGGAATACTGTAATGAGTATCTTTTCCTGATGTGCAGTGAATTCCTAATGGGCTTGTGGGAGGCAAACCTTCTGAGCTGAGTTTTCACTGGTGGCCATGGTTTTGTCTTTCCTCAGACACATGTTTTTATCAGGGTCTCCTGACAAGTCACAGTGAGAATCTTTAAGCAAGATATTTTTTCTCTCTCCCATTGAGCAGAGCAATGCAAATAAGACTAACTTGCAAACTAAGACTAAGCAAAGGGAGGCTTTAGCCAACAAAGCTCATCAAACACCGACAGTCTCATAAATACAGCAATCCAATGTAGTAAACTTGCAGCAGAGGTTGTCTGCTGAAAAATTAATAAAATCCTTGCTACCCAATTAACACAGAAGAAGGTGGTTAGAGACAGACTTCTGCAATTAAGACTCTGGAGAGTTACATTTTTTTCTGAATGCTGATGGAATTATCTCTGTTATGATTCAAAGTATGCTTTTTTTTTTTCAATTTGCCTTCACCCAATGAGAATGTTGTTAGATTAAGAATACATCCTTTATACAGGCAAAGACTTCCTCAATAGAACCCCAGCAGCCCAGCAACTAAGAGAAAGGATGGACAATTGGGACTTCATAAAATTAAAAAGCTTCTGCACAACAAAAGAAATGGTCTCTAAACTGAAAAGACCACCCACAGAGTGGGAGAAAATATTTGCCAGC